GCTCTACTGCAATGCAGGACTTTTCTTTTCCCTGAAGTTAAGCTTTAGCCGTGTCATATCTTTGTAGGGTCTGTGTATTGGGTTCTGGTCAGTATATATTTTGTGCTTTCAATAACAGAACTACCATATATGAAATAAGCACATTGTTTGTAATTGTAAATGTAAGTGGAGTTCATGTAAGAAAGGTTATGCTGACTTTTTTTTACACATTTTTCCAGTCTGAATTGTACATCTAAAGATACAACCTTTATATTTATTTATAGACTAGCAGAAGGTTAAAGCTGACATTTTTGGGTTTTTTTTCTTTTCCTAGTGACATTAAAGTGAAGCTCCACTTGTTTGCCCCTTCCGCTGCCACTTTTGGGGGGGGAGCGGGTACCTGGTTTTCACACTGCCCCCCTTCTTTCCCCCCGCATCTTCTGGGACACTTCACAGGTCCCAGAAGATTGCAGGACCAATCACAAGGCGCAGCGCGACTCGTGCATGCGCAGTAGAAAACTTGCTGTGAAACTGCAAGGCTTTACTTCCGGTTGCCCTTACTTGCAATACCAGCGCCAGGAACCCAGAGGCTAGTGAAAAGAACTAGCTTGGGTGATGACAGTGCTGGATCCCTGGACAGAAGTTTTCTTATAGTAAAATTCAGCATCTACAGTATTTGTAGCTGCTGACTTTTTTTAATTTTTTGGGGGGAGGCTGGAATTCCTCTTTAATAATCAGGACAATTAGAGCGAGTGAATCTTCATAACCGGGGCAGTGGTTCTAACTAATCACCAGTCTATCTAATCTGCAAAAAAAAAGAGTTTTTTATTTTAAGTTATACGTGAATGATGGATTTATTAAGCGTAGTTTCATAAATGGGTCATGGCAAGCTGAATACACAGTTCTAAGGATGCTGTCACACTGCCCACTCTGCGCTTTGGCTACAGTACAGTGTACCTGCGGATTTTGTGCATGTTAGCTAGGCTTTCCCATAGACTTCTTTTATGTCCTACAGTTTTGGTGCACTTTCTAAAACCTGGGAAACCGCAGCTAACCCACACAAAAACCAAAATGCAGTGGATCAGTGTAAAGCTCCCCTAATGTGATTTTATCTATTTGTATCATACCAGTTTTCTTGGCATTTATTTGCACGGCACTATTGTTTTTTCTTTATGCTCAAAGATACAAAATCAGTATATAGAGGATGGATGGAATCCGATCCTACTGCTGTTGACTTGCTTTTCTCCATAGTTAATGGACATTAAACTCTGGTTAAAAATATATATGTATTTGAGTGTTTTCTTTACTCAAAGTAACTTTTAATGCTCTCAACCTTCTCAAAATTCCAAATGTCCCCTTTTTTTCTTTTTTTTGTGATCAGGCTTCCTGTTTGTGGTGAAGTTCGTTCTCCATGGTCTTAGTGTACATAGGAACATAAGCCACCCCATCTTGCTTACTTCTAAGGTGGACTAGGGACTATTGCAGACATCACTAAATGGCAGACTGCATGACAGTCCTATCTGGACCATGGCTCTGCCGCTTAGCATCCTCGGTGTCCTGTCCCGGGTGATATCCTGCTTCCCCCACTGTTGCTACAGCTTTCATCCTTACAGCATGTCTGGACAGAGGGCAGGAGCTGGCCAACTTTTCAAGTTTCAAGCCAGTGGTTTGTTGCTAGGAAGCAGGGTGGACTACTGTAGCAACCCATCACCCACATGTTAGCATGAAAAGTTGGGTAGCTGTGTCTTTTGCCTTCTACCTTCTGTGTAATATTGGCAGTGGAAGGAAAGAAAATCAAGTAATCTATGGGCTGCTTAAGGTAGGATTGGAAAGGTTGGAGGAGGGCTGTGATTGGAAAATGAGGTGGGGGTTGAAGACTCTGATGTAAGGGGGGTGTTGTTTGTGAAGTAATGAGGTTGGGCTGTGATATAAATGGGACATGTGTTGTACAGGGGGTTCTGTAATGTAAAGGGAAGGAGTGATAACACTGATGTAAGGGCAACATGAACAATCTTGGTCATAGAACAAACATGACACCTTTTCTGGCAAATCATTTTACTGACCGGAGCTCTGTGAATTTTAATTCAACACCCTTGGACTATGGGATGTGTAGTGCACATGACCACAACTTAGGTGCACCACTTGTTCCAAACAAATGGAAAATGAGGAGGGAAAAGAGAGGGGTGGAGCTTGTGGAAGACTTTACAAGGAGGCAGAAAAACACAGTAGGAAACAATTTAATTAAAATAGATTACAGGGCAAATAAGTAGTGGATGTGTATGGATTATTTTTGGAGAATAGGGATATAGTTTGTCACTTTCACCACTTCCAGTTCGGGGCAATTCTGACTTTTTTCCTATACATGATAAAATCAGCTTTTTTTTTTTGGCTGGAAAATGACTTGAGCCCCCAAACATTATATATTTACTTAAAGCAGATCTTCTGAAACAAAAAGGTGGTGGTTGCAATTTTGTTATGCTGTACAATATTTGCACATACAAACACAATAGCAACATATTATCTGTTAATTTTCAGGTAAAAATACACTTCAATGAATTTTAGTGCACCCAAACATAATATAATACACTATGTTTGGTAACATATAAAAAATATGATGCTATGCTGAGTAAATAACTAACGTGTTATGCTCTATAATTGCTCATACCTATGCAATTACAGTAATAGGCAATGCTTTAAAAGCCTTTATATTTTAACAGTTTGAAGTTAAAGTGGAGCTTCACGCTAAAGAGGAAGTTCCACTTTAGAGACAAGTCCCTTGCTCCCCATGAAGGATTAGCACCTTTGGTGAGTGGGGGGGGAGGGGGTATCTGAAATTGACAGGTACCCACTCCCGCTCCTAATTCTGCCGCGATTGCCTAGGTGATTAGAAGTGGAAGTGTTTTTTTAAACTGTTGCTTTAATTTCTATCACAAGAGATGAAAATAATCCCTTGTGATACTATGGGCAGTGACAGGTACTTTTTACTGAGAGAGACCTCTGATCTCTGCTCTCAAAAGCAGACAGGGCAGACTTGGGAAGCAGAGGAGAGAAGGGACAGAAAAAAAAGTGGGGAGGAGAAAAAGAGAAGGGGGAGACACAGAGAATTATGGGACAGACATAATATAATAAAACAAAGTAGCACACACCGTACCCCACAGCCAGGACCATCAATAATAATAATAAAAAAAGAAAAGTTCCCCACAAAGGGGGGGGGGGGGGGAAGGGAAAGGATCGCTGCTCAGACAACCATGGACAACCTATTACGCTTTAAAATTGTGCTTGCCTGCACGATGCAAATTTTACTATCCATAGGCGACGCTTTAAAAGCCTTCACAGGTTACCACTTTAAATGTACAGAGGAAGTCTGGTACTAGAATTACTGCCCATGAATTAGCCTTCGTGGCGATACCTCACATGTGTGGGACCATAGCTGTTTGCTTGTGTTCACCTTTGCATGCAAGCACGGGGGGGACACAGGGGCACTGTGACAGCAATAGACCTGTGACAGATACTCTTTATGGAGGGATCTCCCCAAATCCCTCCTTTTTGCCCTTAAAAGCATTCAATCACACCAAGATTGATGTGAGTAAATGCTTTTTTTTCCCTAAAAATGGTGCTGACTGTTTCCGAGTACATCGGAAGTGATGTCAGGTCATTGCTTCCCGTTTACTATTTAATGGCACTGAACAAAGGTAATCCCATCTTTGTTGAGTTCCATGACTAGCCAGCGGCAGCGCAGACTGGTTGATTGGGACTCCGGGTGGGACAGGAGATCATGTTAAAGCGGGGGGGGCTTGGGGTTGAAGTGTTAGGGCGGACGTCCCCTCCCACCGCTTGTAATAGCGATCAACTGGCTTTTACAAGAAAGCTGACCATCAACTGCAAATAACGGAGGAGAAGATGGGAGCCATTGGCTCCTGCTGCTGTCAGTCACAGCCAGTCTGCCAGTGAGGGGGAGCGGAAGCAAGCTGTGGCTCCATGTTTGAATGGACACACGGAGCAGTGGGTGACCCCATAGCAAGCAGCTTGCTATGGGGACACCTGACAGAAAGGAGGAGCCAGGAGAGCCTGCAGGGGACTCGCGAAGAGGATCCAGGCTGCTCTGTGCAAAACCATTACACTGAGCAGGTAAATATAGACATGTTTGCTATTTAAAAAGAAAAAAAAAATGAACCTTTAGTATCATTTTAAAGTGACAATTAGGATTTTGATTAGAATAAGTGTTTAATATTCCCAAACTGGAACTGAATGGTGCTGTGCAAAGTGAATATGCTCTGCTCCTTTTTTATGCTCTGCTCCCCTTTGCTTCATATTCCTTTTTTGTTTCTTTCTTACTAGCATATGCTTGTAGGTTTGCTCCTTAGATGATCTGGAAAAAAAAATAACACTTCTCTTGTGGTGTTACTACTACTTCCATGTCACTAGTATTTGTGATTATCCTAGCATTCTGTTGCTTACACTCCTCTGTCACTGATCTGGTCTGTTAGCTTGCTTCCATCCATGTATTAAGTTGAACTATAGCCAAAACTTTTTTTTCATTTTGGATAGAGTAAGGGAGGGTTATAACCCCTGTCAGATTTGTTTCACAATCTGTGTCCTATTGCGAAGATTTCCATTCACTTCCTGTCCAATAGCCAAACGGGAAGTGAGAGGAAATCCCTGAATTAAGGGAATTCCTTGGGGACCCCCAAGTCACTAGAACTAGTGTCCCATTGGAAGATTTTCTCTATTACTTTTCTGGGGACAACCCAAAATTTGGGACAGGACACATGTAGAGGGTGAATCTCCTTAACGGGGCGTGGACAGCAGTGGCAGTAAAAACTGACAGGTGTTCTAATCCATCTTCACTCTATCCAAAACTAAAAGAAGTTTTGCCTTTAGTTATACTTTTAAGATTTTCAATAAAGCCTTTATTACTTATGTGCTTGTATTTCATTTTATTATAAGATGTCCATGTCAGTAATTCACTTACGGAAGGGAACTGTGTCTTTTATCATCACAGGTAGTGAAAAGGTGGAGGAATGATTCTCTCGCAGGCTCAGTCTGGCGCCTATGCCAGCAACTCTGATGAGGAAAATCCTGCAGATGACTTCCTACAAGTGGAATTAGAACTGAATCTGAAGCTGGGCAATCTAGTATTTCAGGATCCAGTAAAGTATGTGTATAATCCCTTGCTCTATGCCTGGGACCCACATGAGAGGTTTGTGCGGACCTATTGCCAATCAAAAAAGGAAGTGCTTTTTTTAGGAATGAATCCGGGACCGTACGGCATGGCTCAGACAGGGGTAAGATCCTTATCAAATGAGGTTAATTTGTTCCATGGGTAGGGATTGATTTTTTTTTTTGTTAAGTTTAATTGCATTAGTGCCATATTAACCTGCATAAAATTGCTCAATTAAAGATGTCCTCAACATTTTGTACCCTTAACTCATCTCTGATACAGACACTTGTTCAGCTTTTGTTCATCCATCCCTTTTTCTGTAATAAATCTATCATGGTTTACTTCATTAAGATTATACCTGCCATATACCAGGTCTGCCAACACTATCCTACTTGCTTGTATCTGCAGCTCAATTAAATACCAGGCTTGACATAGAGACTGCCACTCAAGAGTAAAAAAAAAAAAAAATCTGTTAATGGCTGATGGAGGGACTGACTGGGAGTGGGTGGAGTGACACTATATGAAAAGGTCAGACAGTCTTGCTGGCTGTGATAATTGGTTACACCTCTCTGCCCCATTCTTTTATTAAGCTGTGTGATCATTTTGAGATCATGCCAAACTGCGCCTTACCTCAGCAATGGGAAAGAATTATGTGGCTACGTGTTACTTCAAGCTGCTAGCCAAATCAGAAATAGTTTTCTTACAGAATTAGCATGTGGGAATCTCTTTATAACCTTCTACTAATTGTGAGTCTGCTAGTTTTCTTTTTGTTCCACTAACCTAAATGGCAACAAATCTTCCCCAAAGAGGTCAGTATGTTAACTTGTGCAATTCACGGCTGAAATACATGTAAGGGAGTAGTTTTACCTTCCAAAGGAATGTAATTTTATCTACCCCTTTCTGAGATTTATACAGCCCTGGCAGACATCACAGCCTGATTTTTTTTTTTTTTTTTTTTCTATTACAATTGACACCTGGTGACCTGACTTTTCTTTACTGTAGTGCAGCAACAGACTGATGAGGTCATCTCTCTGCTCCCTTCTCCTGTAAGTATGTTCCATGTGAATGCAGGACACTGGATTGGCCCCTAGTTCTGCCCCTCCTTTTCCCAGTCTGAGGACTGTTGTACAGGGAGATTACTAGAAATTGAAATTAAGTTCAGGTATTTTCTACAATTTGCATTTAAAATGTACTAAATTATGTTTTAACACATGAACAGTGGGTATAGAAAAGAATATGCCCCTTTCCTTAAAATAATCAGTTTGTTGCTTTGCAGCCCGCAGTGAATACTCGCATAGTTTTTGTTTTATCTAGCTGTATTTACTCAGTGCAACGTATAACACCCAAGTAAAAGAACACCAACATGTCAGAAATTTTTTTAAAAAAATCAAAAACAGTTGGAAAAAGGATCACCCCCCCCCCCCCTCCTTAAAATGACTTGTAAACTCAATCAGATGTAGCTAATCACCTTCTCAATGGCACACAACGCCTTTTGATTTTCAGCTGTGGTCATTTTAATTGGCACAGCATGAAAAGAGCTTTCCTAGATCATTTCAGTCCCTGATAGTGCAACTTAATCAAACGATCAACTATGGGTGGCAAGGCACTGTCAAAAGATCTCCGGGTTACAGTTGTGGACAGGCACAAGTCAGGAGATTGATACAAAAATAGTGAACGGTTAAAAAGTGGAAGGTATTTGGTACAACACAGACCCTCACTGGATCAGGGGGTCACTCCAAAGTGGATGAAAGAGCCAGGAGGAAACTGGTCAGAGAGGATACCAAGAGGCCTACAGCAACTCTGAAGCAGTTGCAGAAATTAATGACAAAGAGTGGTCATTGTGTACATGTGACAACAATATCACATTCTCCACAAATGTGGCTTGTATGGGAGGGCTGAAAGAAAAAAAACACTCCTCAAGCATGCAGTCATGATTGAGCTTTGCCAAAATGCACCTTGAGGATTCTGAGGCCACATGGAAACGGGTGTTATGTTCAGATGAGACTAAAATTTAATTATTTGGCCTCAACACTAAACATTATGTCTGGTGGAAGTTTAATACAGCTCACCACTTGAGCAGTTCTGCAAAGAAGAGTGGGCAAATATTGCAAAGTCTAGATGTGCAGAGTTAGTAGAAACATCCAACAGATTAAAGGTTGGAATTAAAGCAAAAGGTGGTTGTTCAACAAAATACTGAAACAAGGGTGTGATCCCTTTTCCAACTCAGTGATTCTGTTTTTGAATTAAAAAAAATAATTTCTGACATGTTGGTGTTATATCTTTCACTTGGATGTTATAAGTTGCACCGAGTAAATACAGTTGATTAAACATAAACTGTATCTGGTTCATTTCAGCCTGCAAAGCAATAAAATATAATTATTTTAAAAGGTGGGTGATTCTTTTCTGTGCCTGCTGTATAACTACATTTATTGGGCTTTTTACTATATGCCTGGAGTTTAGCTTAAAAACTCACTCCAAGGGACATACAGTATGTATAAAGCAGTGGATGTGACATTCACTGCAGTCATTAGCAAATATCCCTCCAAGAGTTCATTACTGCAAAGGTCACAAACAACCATTTGGTGCGTGTGTGTTATTCTGACTGTCTGTTGTGTGTGTGTGTGTGTGTTACAGGTAATTTAGACTAACTACAAATGAACTAAAAACCATTTATTATTAGACTTGGATAGCGTATTATGGTATATACATCTGAAACATACAGTATGTTTTAGTGCTTATGGGAAGAAAAGTATACATCCATTGACATCGTGTTGTTTGTGACTGATGGTAAAAAGAACCAACTTCCACTCATGTATATCACATATATCTGATCTGCACCTAAAAATGATCCTGCCCTGAGAATGCATATCTTAAACCTAAACTGATAATGCATACCTAATGCAAACATGAATTACTTTTTTTTTTTTTTTTTTTTTTTTTTATGTGAAACTGAACCATTACATATATACATGAATATCAAAATGTATTTTTTTTTTTTATTTTTTTTAAATAAACTAATATCTTATATTAGTCTCTGCTTTGCAGTGCCACTTGCACCCTCTCTGCCTTCCAGATCTGCTGCTATGCAAATTTCAATGTTACCCTGCACATCATCTTCCCGGATTTAGGTGCCTACCCACAGCTGATGCAATCATGTGGTCACCCCCCCCCCCCCCCAAAAAACAAAAAAACAAAAACATTATGAAGACTTTCTGCTAGACATGCCCCCATGCACACAGAGCATTTGCTCAGCTCCTTTGAATGTCTTTTCTCCTGGTAGGAGAAGGCTCCTTAAAAAATACAATAGAAGACGCATATTACACTTCTTTATGCATGGATGCATGTTAATGCATTTTTAGCTAGAATATTCACTTAGAATATTCATTAGAACGTGCAAACAGGCATAGAGGTGCTTGGCGTTTATGCAAGTTCTGCGTTTCTTTTTTTTTTTTTTTTGCTGCCTAAAAGCTCCTCTACTGAACATGCTAGTGATGGGTTATTTCTTCTGCCTGTAGACATTCCTTTTCTAATATGCATGGACACACAGGCTAAACACAAAGGTGCATTTACTGACATAAAAAATGCCAAACACCTGTAAAAACGCTGTGCATCAGCTCTTAATGTTATGGACCCTGTGAGTAAATAGACTTTGCTAGATGAACAGTAGAAGGTTTTGTTTACTGCAGTCAGTTGGTTACTTGCACCTACAGCTAGCAGTTAACAACTCCACTCTGCCTTTTCTCCTGGTCTTGTATGTCAGGGCCCACTGTTTGGCTAAATGTAAAAATGGCTTTTTTTTTTTTTTTTTTTTTTTTTTTTATACCAGGAAGTTCATTACGATGTGAAAATTGAAAGACATGAGTAATTGTCTTTTCTTGATAATTGTTTTGTTCTGGTGTATAGTGCACAAATGCTAGAATAGGCTCTTGCTAAACAAAATTGATTTTCTTTCTCGTCCAATGAATGACAGAGAAATTTGTATACAGTCTCAATAAAACTGCTGCCTACAGGAGGTTTGGATACTAGCAAACTAAAGAAAACTGTAAGCCTGTATAACACTTCCTCTGCCTTTCATTATCAGTGACTTCAGTCAAGATATTTTACCACACTGCTGCTGGATCTGGTCTCAATATAACAAGTGTCTTATTCAGGGTTACCTCAAACCACCCCGCTGGAATGTGGTGTTTGGGCATTGCATTGTGATGCTTTCCAGGCCTTAGGGCTTGTTCACACTTGACCAATTTTCTAATTCCTGCCAAATACTTCTATAGCATTTGACAGGTGTTTAGGAAGCATTTTTAACGCTCCTTAAACGCTACCCAAACACCTTATGCGTGTTTTTGAGGCATTTGATAGGCATTTGCCAAGCGTTAAAATCAAACCACAAACGCCTATAATGAAGCTTAATGGTATTAACGCCTTGCAACTGCCTCGCAAACGCCTGCCAGGCGTTTGAGGAGCGTCACCTTAGCCTTGAATGGGAGGCTTCAACTCCTCCTGACTGGACATGAATCTATTTTGCCGCGAAGCGACACTAACGCTTCAGTGTGAACAGCACTGTGTGCTGCCATGTGTAGAATTTTCATAGGCGTTTGAGGAGCGTTAAAAACGCTTCCCAAACGCCTGTCTAAGGCCTGCTAACAAAGCTAGTGTGAACTTAACCTTAGTGTACTGTGCTGGCCACAAAGCGCTTTCCAGGTCCAGAGCAATGACACAGCCCCTGTGTGTGTGTGTGAGAGAGAGATCGATCGTGTTTTAGAGGCACCACCGTCTCCTGCTGTCACCTCAGATGTACAGGGGATTGTTCCAAACCTTATTGATGCAGTGCGTACTACCCTGCATCAGAAAGATCAGCCTGCTGTTCATGCCTTGGATTTTTACAGCTTCTACACCTGCAAAAACCTTTTCATTATGTCTATTTGAAATATTCATCTGTGTGGAACAGAAAGCAACCTGAAGGGTCCTGGGTCCTCTTGAGAGTGTGTTTTGAACGTTTTCCTTTTAAGAGGGCGTGTGTATGCCAGAGGTCTTTTCCCACCATGGATACACTAGTGGCCCACCTTAGCAGGATCACTAGCATTTTGGTTAAGGAAAGTTTGAGTTTGCACTGACATCTATAGTCCTCCTTAAAGCTCAGTTTCAAGTGACTGGTCCTGCCCTCCATCCCATTTTGTTGGTAACATTAAACTGTCAAACTGCATCAGAATGAGCGTATTACCTCAAAAGGGATCCCTCCACTGCCAAGTTAGGTACCTGATTCATGGAGCAGATAGAGCAAAAGTCTGAGCCTTGTGGTCAGTTGTAATTGCATGTTACAGGCAAACTGTGTGTCTCATGGAACTGATTTTTATACAGTTGCACAGGGCACTCTGGCTGCAAAACCAGAGGATAGGTAACTCTTTTGAAAAGCCTTTTGCATTAAGGTGCTCCCCTACTTCGTGGGGTGCAGAGAACACCCCTTTTTAGCCCACGCTCTAACCCCTTTTCTCTGGCATCTCCTTCAGCTGCTCCTCACTAAATCTTTTGTGCTACTGCATAAAACAATGCAACTTTCCAGGTTTCCTTGGGTTCTTTACATCCTGGGACTCCATTTCCCTGTCTAAATGTGGCTTTGAAGATGCACCCCATCCAAACACTCACTGTCTTCCTCAGGAGAATCTTTGTCCTTTTGGTACTATAAAATTTCTTGTAGTAGGGGGTTCCCTGCAGCATCCCTTCTTTTCAGAGGGATTTCCTAAACTACAGGGTCGACCAGGACTAGTTCTGACTGTCCTCTACCGAAACAAGGATCTGGCCACTTGGCATCCTCAGTCTCTTCAAGGAATCAGGGATGTCTCTTTTCGCGCACCCCAGAGGGAACCCCACTGGCCAGGGAGTCCTCATACCTAGACCTGCAGCCTGGCTCCGAAGAAAAGGTAGTTCCCTCTTCACTGGGGACCTGGCTAAGCAAGTCCTGTAGAGTTCTTCTGTCTGGCCTCAAAGACTCCTCAGGGTGTTTTAAATGGATGATTTTTTTTGTTTATCCTCCTTTGCTTCTCATGCTGCATTTCACTAGTCTGGTGAAAAGCCCGACTATCTTTGTAGGTGGGTCTCTCATACATCCTACTTATTTCAGTCAAGGCTGACTTTGCGGGAGTGTAGCCCTGAGTTCCCTACTGCTCTCACGTAGTCACTTCTCAGTTTCCTATGGGTTTTCGGATATCTTATTTAGTAAGATTGGTTGCCTGACTAGGTAGATTTCCTTCCTTGAATTCCAATGGTTGGGAGTCTTAAGGCTTGAACCATTTTGTAAGCTCCGAGGAGCAGGGCCCTCCTATCCCTCTTGTATTGAACTGTATCATTGCTGTATTGTCTCCCGGTATATTGTAAAGCGCTGAGCAAACTGTTGGCGCTATATAAATCCTGTATAATAATAATTTTGTGTAGACTGCTTTCGTTTGTAGACTTGGTTTTGTCCAAAGTTCCCTCTGGGGACCTGTTTTCCTTGGGACTAATCCCAGTGTTTTATTCTTTTGACTACATCATGTTGTGGGTCTGTGTATTCCTTTTTATCAGGTAGTTATGATGCTCTACTTCTTTTTTAGGGTTTTTAGCTTACAGCCTCTCACTGGTTCGGGCTCAATGTTCTATTGGGTGGAGTCATTACACCGTTTATTGAAAAAATAAATTTGATAAAAATAAAAAAAAAATCAGATTTTAAATTTTTTTTTGGTTTTTTTTTTTTTTTTTTTAATCAGACAGTTCCTAGTTCTTTCTTCAATTAAAAAGTGAATACTTGTGAGCCACTATGTCTCAGATGTTCAGTATAATATGTGCAATAGGTGGTAGTGAACTACCTGTTGTGTTAGGTGCGCTGGCACTTTCACAAACTCACTTAATTGTGTATATGTAAATTGATTAGACGTATTTATAATGCCGCGCTCCTACTATAAATACTTAATAATGTATTGTATATCACTCATAAACATCAATAAACTAAATAAATTAATAATAAATATTAATAAAAATCAATAAATTAATTAATGTGATATAGTGAATGAAAAATCAAATCATGAATATGCTAAATTGTGCCATTAGTGCTCAAACAATATTGTCCATGCCATATTCCAATTTCATGATTAAATAAAGAGTCTTTTATATCTTTGTGCAAAGGTGCATACAGAAATGAACAGTCTTATATATCTTTGTGCAAAATGTGCAATGTACAGGTGAACTCCTTAATCCCTCTTTCCAGGTGCCGTGTAGTCTCAATATGCGCTCACCTTAATATTTGCCCAAATAAATTTAGGCAAATAGACTTGTAGTCCTTCTAGGACTGGTGGGATAGTGCTCCTTTATGCAGTATTCCAGATGGATGTGCAGACCTGCTCAGATCCTCCTCCTATAATCTCCTCTTAAATCATCCACGTGGCCACTCATAGATAGATTTTTGAAAAGGGGGTATCAGTATCTCCTATTTCCCCTCCTGGGGACACCTCCTTCTTATATCCACCTTTCCTCAATGTTGAGTATATAGATCAGATGGAGAAAAAAAAAAAAAAAAAAGATCTGCTGATCTATATACTCAACATTGAGGAAAGGTGGATATAAGAAGGAGGTGTCCCCAGGAGGGGAAATAGGAGATACTGATACCCCCTTTTCAAAAATCTATCTATGAGTGGCCACGTGGATGATTTAAGAGGAGATTATAGGAGAGGAGGATCTGAGCAGGTCTGCACATCCATCTGGAATACTGCATAAAGGAGCACTATCCCACCAGTCCTAGAAGGACTACAAGTCTATTTGCCTAAATTTATTTGGGCAAATATTAAGGTGAGCACATATTGAGACTACACGGCACCTGGAAAGAGGGATTAAGGAGTTCACCTGTACATTGCACATTTTGCACAAAGATATATAAGACTGTTCATTTCTGTATGCACCTTTGCACAAAGATATAAAAGACTCTTTATTTAATCATGAAATTGGAATATGGCATGGACAATATTGTTTGAGCACTAATGGCACAATTTAGCATATTCATGATTTGATTTTTCATTCACTATATCACATTAATTAATTTATTGATTTTTATTAATATTTATTATTAATTTACCTAGTTCTTTCTTGTTGGCTTGTTAGCTGTGTCCACCCCTCAGTTGGACTGCTCTTGGACATCTCAACTGTATCTGAATTTCTGTGCCCATCAATAAATGAGAAAGAGAGAAAATTATTTTTTATACTTACTGTAAATTAAATTTTTAGGAATCCACTGAGTTACATAGGTCCCACCTCTCTGTGTCGTCTTCTCTTGCCCTTGGGACGCTTTCTCAAAACTGAGCCATCCTGGATGGAGGGGTTATACAGAGGCTTACTTACAGGTTTTAGCCCCATAAGTAGCTGTATAACCCAGCTGTATCTGAATTCCTGTTTCCTTCAAAGGACTCCAAGAAGTAGGTTTTGGGTTTTTTTTGCTAGCCGCATATGCATGTAAAGGTTTGTTTATCAAAGCTGAAGCAGAAATTTCAAAACTACCCTTGCATTTGAGACACAGACACTGAATAATTATGTAGCAGAAGGAAAAAACGTCTAATCTTTTGTGTATTTTTCGGTTAGTATGTCTGAAATTGTTGAATATAGTCGGCATAACCACCAGGAAACTAGAATTTTCAGAAAGTGGTCGGTAACATTAGGCCCTATTTTTCTTTAATGTTTCCATTTAACGTGTCCCATTTCTTTACTCATGCAGGGCAAAGTTAAAAGGTCACTTTACTCTCCAACCTCTCCAGCAGCATATATATTCTCCTGTACACACCCTAGTCATCTCCTCCCCACCACCACCACCAAGGAAATAAAGACTCTTTGTGAGCTTTTATACAAGCTTTCACAAGGTCATGGACTTCTTGAGAGTGCTGGGAAAATCAGGAGATGCCAGCAATGTCGCGTAGAAGGGAAGGGGATAAGTCACATGCTCGCCCTTACCTGGAAGTTTTGGATATTGTATTTCACTAGTATAATATAGGGGTTAAGGTCACTTTTAAGTCACTGGTAACAGCAGTGTTAATGTTCAAAGTGCAGAAAAACCATATAATTCATTAAGGTTTTAGCTTTTACTTTGGAGCAGTTTTCCAGGTGGACCTGACCGGACCCTCTATTTTCTTCTGTGGGCAGTTGGATGTAAACAGACATGCATCCGTTTACACCCAGCTTATTATTATTATTATTATTATTTATTCAGTATTTATCAATAGTTCGCTCAGCGCTGTACATTACAAAGGGGGACAGAACATGTGACAAACAATACAATGCAAAACAGGGGATCGAGGGCCCTGCTTTCAAGCTTACAATCTAGGAAGGGATCTTCAGATCTGGCAAAAACAAACATAAGGGGTGGCAAGATCAGATTGGAAAGTAGTCGGGTGTAAATGGACAGCCAATTTGTTTACATCCGACTGCCCATAGAGCAGTCCATGAGTCCATGTCTGCTGTGCATAAATGGAGCGGACCCGGACTGGTCATCCGCCCACTCCGCTATGCTTGGTGGGGTATCAGCGGATAGCTGAGCCAACTGGATAAAAAAGGATTCCGCCCGGTGCAAAAGGGGCCTAATGTTTACTAACCCTACAACATAAATTTTATTTTATGCTTGAATGACTAATGATAAGTTTATCAAACAGCTGTTAACTTTCTTCTTTTCATTTCTCAGGTTCCTTTTGGGGAAGTTAAACACGTGCGTGACTGGCTTCAAATTGAGGGCCACGTTTATAAGCCTGAAATTGAGCATCCAAAAAGGCCCATTCGTGGATTTGAATGCCCCCATAGTGAAGTCAGTGGTGCTCGATTTTGGGGTCTTTTCAAATCCCTTTGTGGGCAGCCTGAACACTTTTTCCAGCATTGCTTTGTCCACAACCATTGCCCTCTCATATTCATGAACCAGGCGGGAAAAAACCTGACCCCAATGGATCTTCCTAAAGCTCAGAGAGATGTACTTCTGGATATCTGTGATGAAGCCTTATGTCAAGTTGTCAAGGCACTTGGGGTTAAGTTGGTGGTTGGAGTGGGCAAGTTTTCTGAGCAGCGTGCTAGGAAGGCGCTGGCTGGAGAGGGATCAGATGTTACAGTGACGGGTATAATGCACCCATCTCCCAGGAACCCTCAGGCCAATAAAGGTTGGGACAGCTTGGTAAGGACACAGCTCCAGGACCTGGGAGTTTTGTCACTGTTTGTCTGATTGACAGAAGGACCTACATTTTACAATTAGACTACATGGTTACCGATACACTACATCAATAACTACGTTTGCTTCATTGTTTGTACCACACTATGCCTTGTTCAAATGTCAACACTTGTATGAACGATGCAGTGAAATGGAATGGACTGTAATAATGGATTATATATGTAAAACACTTATATTCACTGTAGAATTTAGTAAACCGTTTAAAATAAAATAAGCTATAATCATTTTAAACATAACAAAGAACATTTCCTAAAATGATTGCTAAGCTACTGCTGCACTTTCAGTTGAAGACAGCCTTTCGAAAATGTCAGTAGTGCAGGATTGCCAAGTGGTGCTGGAACGCATCGAAGGACAGATGGAACATTTCATACAATTAACTATTCTTGTCTGACCTTCACATGTCGTGTAAAACAAATCCCAAGAATCACACCTGTGGGTTTATGGACATATTCTGATTATGTAGATGGTATCAGCTACTTTATCTCACAATTTTGCTATTCCCTACTGGTGAATATCCTGAATCGGTGTAATGAATGTAGAAAAAGAAAGTCTCCTTCATTTTCCCTGGTCAGTTACTGTTAATCCTAGGTCTTCTTCAAGACAATGTACTGTAGAATAGCTTGTAGCTTATGATATGTCTAAAGACAGAGTAGTATTGTCTCAATGAACATTTTCGCATACTTTGTTTTGCACAGTTGCAATTTAGCAGTTTCCTCATCCCATGATATCAGTCATTTTACAGACTAAACTCCTACATTTTACTGCTTTTTTGGTTCAAGGTACAAAATAAGAGCCAACCTGTGATAGGTACATTTTATACGGAAGAATATCCTTCCACTAGCGTAATATGTCGTCTTAAGATAAAATGAAGTTGCATATCATCAGTGCTTGACGTATCCAAGGACCAAGGAATTTGCCATGAAGGACTTACTGGTGGAGACTTGAAACCATTCCTTTATGCTCCCCGTGACCAACTGCATCCAGTTTGTGACTGCTTTGTGTAACTGTTTATACAAGAAATATAGTTCTTGCCCTCTTTATGTGCACATTATAAGTTAGAACAGTAAGCTTTACTGTTCATGCAACTTTTGTTTTTGAAGAGGCAGACATTTACAGATTGTTTATATCCTGCCCACTACCAAGTCGTCTTGTTGATGTCCCTGCCTTGTTTTTAGTCTGTTTTGGCCACTGACTAATGAGCTGTTCAGCATTCTTGGTTGGCATAGCAGACTACTACAGAAGTCCAGCCTCTACAGTACAGATCTGCAGTGCAAACTATGTACAATCTGCTAGACAGAAACAGGACACCTATGTTTACAGACTGCACCTTTTTGAAGTTTTTTTATGTTTAATCTTTAAATTGTAGTAGAGCTAGAAATGATCTTTTGATTAAACAGTATTGTCTGTTTTTAGTTTAGGCTTTTTTTTTTTTTTTTTTTTTTTTTTTTAAACAATGCAACTTTGATGTTGTGAAAAGTGTTTGGTTTTTGGTTTTTCATTCTTATTCATCCTGAAATTTCAAGGGTTGCTGAAGGGCCTTTTGGGAATCTCATGGCAACAAGGACATGTATGAAGCAATGATGTTGGCCAAAGGAGATTTTGTTCCTTATTTGGAAGATCTTATCAACAAGCAGGTGTTGTAGGACAATGGGTTTATTTCCATTTAAAATGTAGGGTAAACAGTGACGGCTCAGTTAATGACCCTGGTTCATTGCCATTACAGTGGGAAAACTAGAGAATATTAAACATTTGAATTTGTTGAATGACTGATTTGCTGTTCGACCGTGTGAGAACTCTCGCAAGAAAAAACAGTCATATGTGTACATAGTGAAACATTGGGGTTGGTTTACTAAAGGAATGAAGGCTGTTCCCTCAGCAAACTGCTCACTTTAGAAAGTGTTTGTTTATTTTGCAAAATGAATATTCATGAATAAGGTGAAGCTTGTTCACATTTAATAATTAATAATCATACTAGTAAACATCCTCTTCTTCTTAGGTCCCCCACCAGTACTCCTGGCTCCTCCCCCTTATCAGTGCCCCCAATAGCAGGCTACTTGCTATAGGAACACTGGTGCATGGTCACTCCTGTCTCTGCTCTAAACATTCATGAGATATATAAAACCGTGGCTCAGCCCCGCCCTCCTGCTCTCTCCTCATTGGCTCACTGGCTGTGGAAAAAAAAACTTCAGCCTTTACAACCACTTTAATAACTACAATGAAACCCTCCCCTCCTCCTTATCAGGTATCCGTATGTCTAGCATTGAACAAGCCTCCATAAATGCCTTTTAAAAAGAAGTAAAAAGTCACATGACCAGTTTAATCTTTCTTTCCGTCTCATGGCTGGCAATGGTGACGGCAAACAACTTCCACATTCTAGAGAGGAATGCATTGCACAAAGGACTACATGTCCCATAATGCCTTGCTCCTCAAGCAGTAAGTATTTGTTTGGGTTTAGCAAGAGGCCCATAAGTATGTGCTGTTCTCCTTACAACACCCATCCGATACAAAAGATAGAGGTACCACTCAATATGGATGGGTAGCAAGGAAGCATGCTTTGACACTGAATAATGTAAATACGTCATCAGTATAGTCTAGCGAACTACGTTGGGGTGTTGAAAAGATGGACGGCAGAGACAGGAAACGGCAGTGTGACACTGACTATTGCAGAACTTGAAGAATGAAAGCAAAGCACAGATTGAAATGTTAAAAGTCAGATTTCATCTGTAAGAAAATGCTGGTTCAATAAGAAGTTATATTGCAACTGTAATGACCACCTTTTTGCTATATGACAAGTATTTATGTTGAAATTGGATTTCTGCTTTAAGTTGCCTTGCATTTGATTGGGTATACAGAGTGAGCAAAGGTTCACCTTATTGATTAATGTTCACTTTGCACGGTGAGCATACACTTTGCTTGGTTTACAGTCTATACTAAATGAACTCCTCTTTTACGTATGTCATCTGTTTGTGTACATTGTTCATAAGACAAAATGATTCACTTTTTGGGCCTGTGGCTAGAAATTAAGCTTGGTGCAGGCAATGTCCCATGACTGTCCATGCAAAGGGATATGCGAATGGAAGACTACAAGTCCTATGTTCCACCCGCAGCAGAGGGACTCACAATCTCAATAGAGCACAAGTGCAGTGACGTCACTATACTTGTTGTTCATTGATTTCCTACTTCAGCCTTCTAACAAAAGGTCTGTACCTCCATATGAGCTTGGGCTAGGGAAGAATCTGCAGGAGCCTGTGGATTTCACACTCAGATCACTGAGCGCAGTTGAAGTGTTCTGCAGGCAGTGGCTTCAACTGCAGCTGTTAGCACGCATGTTTTATAACTTTTATCTACAATTTTCTACACATGGAGTTATCAATTCTATTATGCAAGATTCACAGTTTCCACTCAAGATTTATATTTTTCAATTGGAATTGAAAAATGTGTGACTCTTGGGTGAATGTTGTGACTCTTGAGTAAAAATTGTGATAAATTGACCCCGTAGTAACCAATTACATGTAGTGTTATATTGATCCAGTGGTGCAACTGGAAATTAAACCCTCACAGAAACATAAAATAAAATTCTGTAATCAAAATTGTGTGATCAAGTTTTGAATAGGCAGTAGTGACTAAAATGGCTTTTCCTAAAAATCGTAAAGCATCACCTCTGCTGGTTCATAAGCCACCGCTGTGTGGTGGGAGAGACTGTCTCACTGGCAGCAGGTGAATTTTATGCCTGCCGTTGCCATATGCAGTTCTATTGGCATCTTCTGTGTTAGGAGGTGATGTGTGCGGAGAAGAGTCTGGAATGCTGCAAGATGAAGCGGACGGCTTGTTTGGAGGTCTAATATATGTGCGGAAGATGCAGTGAGGCAAGGGGCACAGGCAGACTGTTTTATTGTGCTAATAAAGTAGCCCATCTAGCCTCATTGCTTATTTAAACCATTCTCTTCTAATTAAAAGGAAAAAGGATTACTGGTATACTGAGCCCGATTCTACCAGTTTGACTTTTTGTCGAAATTGCAGGACAACCTCTTTGGAGACTTGCAGTGTTTTAACCTGGGACCTACTAACTGTTATGTATGTGTAGAAAGTCTTGTGCGTTTTTGTAAAGCAAGAAGTCAGCTTTCTATTTTTATGATGTACACTGCTGGCAGGTTATTTTGATAGCTGCCTGGAAACATTATTGTAACGTCTTTAGGTGAATGCAGTTTATATATTGAATGCCTTACATACGTATATTGTGAAAGCTTCAGAACTAGTTATCCTTTGTACTGAAAAGTGTTATAACCCTTTAAAAGCTAACAGTATTGGGCCCCGTGTATGAATAGTGTCTGAAAGGGTAGTAGCTGCTCTGCCATTAGCTACCAATCAGACTCCAGTTCTCATTTTTGTAGTGCAGATTAAAAGAAAAAAAAATGAATATTCTGATTGATTGCTATAGGCAATGTATTTGTAGGCACTTTCTGCTTTCATGAGGCCCATTCTGCTTTCATTAGTATTTTTACGTGGGATTGGTGAAAATGAGTGTATTCTCAATTCTGTAGGTTATAATATAGCTTTTTGCACCAAGTTGCTAGAGGTATACTAACCCTATTTTTATGTCATCATATGTATCTGATGTAAATATTGAAAGATGACAATATAATCATTGAAATATTTGGTAGTTTTTTTTTTTTTTTTTTACTGTTGACATGTTATTAAAGTGAGACATCCATGAGGAAAGTCGGTACAACAAAAAATGCTCTGTTTGGCTGTCCTCATAATAATTACAGACTTGGTGGTCTGTTCCTGTTGAATGTCTAGATCCGTCAAACTAGGCGTGTATGGCGCATTCTGTCAAAGCCTGGGCTAGGTTGTTAAAGTAATATTAAAGCTTAGGTTTTTTGTTTTAAAATAACAAATGTTATACTTACCTGCTCTATGGTTTTGCACAGAGCAGCCCTGATCCTCCTCTATATGGGTCTCCCACCCACCGGCACTCATGGTTCCCCCTGCGG